GGATCAGTATGCGGGTAGTATATTGGGCAACTATGTGGCAAATGAGGTTTAATGTTGATAAATGTAAGGTTCTGCACTTGGGGACTAAGAATATGCATGCATCATACATACTAGGATGGGGGGGGGGGGGGGTACAACTGGGGGAATCAATGGTGGAGAAGGATCTGGGGGTTCTGGTAGATCACAAGCTTAATAATGGCAGGTATAGACTCCAGAAAGAGAGATATCATTCCCCCCCCCCCCCCCCCCCACCTCTTCTGGAATATGCAGTTCAGTTTTGGGCACCAATTCATAAAAAGAACATTGGGGAACTGGAGAGTACAGAGAAGGGCAACCAAACTGATAAGAGGTATGGAGGAGATCAGCTATGAGGAAAGATTAGAGGAACTGAATTTATTCTCTATTGAGAAGAGGAGATTAAGGGGGGATATGATCTCCATGTATAATACATAAGGGGGGGATATGATCTCCATGTATAATACATAAGGGGGGATATGATCTCCATGTATAATACATAAGGGGGGATAGGATCACCATGTATAATACATAAGGGGGGATATGATCTCCATGTATAATACATAAGGGGGGATATGATCACCATGTATAATACATAAGGGGGGATATGATCTTCATGTATAATACATAAGGGGGGATATGATCTCCATGTATAATACATAAGAGGGGATATGATCTCCATGTATAATACATAAGGGGGGATATGATCTCCATGTATAATACATAAGGGGGGGATATGATCTCCATGTATAATACATAAGGGGGGATATGATCTCCATGTATAATACATAAGGGGGATATGATCTCCATGTATAATACATAAGGGGGGATATGATCTCCATGTATAATACATAAGGGGGGATATGATCTCCATATATAATACCTAAGGGGGGATATGATCTCCATGTATAATACATAAGGGGGGATATGATCTCCATATATAATACCTAAGGGGGGATATGATCTCCATGTATAATACATAAGGGGGATATGATCTCCATATATAATACCTAAGGGGGGATATGATCTCCATGTATAATACATAAGGGGGGATATGATCACCATGTATAATACATAAGGGGGGATATGATCTACATGTATAATACATAAGGGGGGATATGATCTCCATGTATAATACATAAGGAGGGATATGATCTCCACGTATAATACATAAGGGGGGATATGATCTCCACGTATAATACATAAGGGGGGATATGATCTCCACGTATAATACATAAGGGGGGATATGATCTCCACGTATAATACATAAGGGGGGATATGATCACCATGTATAATACATAAGGGGGATATGATCAACACGTACAATACATAAGGGGGGATAGGATATATACATAAGGGGGCATAGGATCAACACATATAATACATAAGGGGGATATGATCTCCATGCATAATACATAAGGGGGATATGATCACCATGTATAATACATAAGGGGGGATATGATCTCCATGTATAATACATAAGGGGGGGATATGATCTCCATGTATAATACATAAGGGGGATATGATCTCCATGTATAATACATAAGGGGGGATATGATCACCATGTATAATACATAAGGGGGGATATGATCTCCATGTATAATACATAAGGGGGGATATGATCTCCATGTATAATACATAAGGGGGGGATATGATCTCCATGTATAATACATAAGGGGGGATATGATCTCCATGTATAATACATAAGGGGGGATATGATCTCCATGTATAAATACATCAGTGGTTCATATAGTGAACTCGGTGTAGTTATTCACCCTGAGGTCATCACAGAGGACAAGGGGGCGCTCTTTACATCTGGAGGAAAAGAAATTTAATCTCCAAACACAGAAAGGTTTCTTCACAGTGAGAGCTGTGAGAATGTGGAATAGACTCCCTCAAGAGTTGGTTGTGGCCAGCTCAGTGGATTGCTGTAGGAAAGTCCTGGATTCTTTCTTGGATACACAGAATATAACTGGATATAACATTTATAGGTAAAGTTGATCCAGGGAATATCCGATTGCCTCTCGGGGGGGATCAGGAAGGAATTTTTCCCCTGTAGGAGCAAATTGGATCGTGCTTTGCTGGGTTTTCTTTTTTTGCCTTCCTCTGGATCAACTCTGGGTGTAGGATTGTAACTTTTTTTTTTTTTTATTCTTAATGGTTGAACTGGATGGACTTTTGTCTTTTTCAGCCAGACTAACTATGTAACTATATAGTCAGGCACAGGATACACAGGTAGCAAACGACAAAGAGCTCAGAGAACTGTAAAGTTGCTCAAGCAACGTGGGCTAGACTGAGCATGTCTTACAGTCATGGCCAATATTTTTGCCATTAATGTATATAGGCAAGCCAACTAAGAAGTGCCTGAGAAGTGCCTCTACAAATTCAACTCAAAGTCACTATAGATGCTACCATGGTGTAGCATTTCACATTGCCAGTAAATTTTATTAAAAATGCTCTCACATTTAAATATAAAACAATTGCATAGACAAAAACCACTCGGGACACTACAGCTTTCTCCCTCCTCACTTCTGTTCCTCCAAGATTTGGCATCACCTGGCTCCACCCCACGTGTATCGTCACAGACCATATACCTTCATCGGGGGTCTTTAACCGCTTGTCCACCGCCGTATGGAAGATACTGCTGCAGGATGGCATGGCTGCGCAAAATCACGTATATATACGTGATTTGCATTTACGAGTAAGGGGCGCGCGCGCCGCCCTACCCGTGCCACTATTGGCTGCTGGGGATGTCATTCACTGGGTCCCTGGTGGGTAATTCCTGGGACTCGGTGATCTTCGGCAAATTTGGCAGGGGAGAGACCTGTGTGTAAGCAACACAGATCTCTCTCCTGCTATCAGCAAGGACATGCTGCTTTGTATCTCTCGGCACAGCAGAGAAATACAAAGCAGCATGTCCTTGCTGACAGCAGGAGAGAGATCTGTGTGCTTACACAGCAGAGAGATACAAAGCAGCATGTCCTTGCTGACAGCAGGAGAGAGATCTGTGTTGCTTACACAGCAGAGAGATACAAAGCAGCATGTCTCCCAAGTAAAATTAGCACACAGCACGCAATGTAAAACACACACACAGCACGTAGTTAACCCTTTGATCGCCCCAGATGTTAACCCCTTCCTGCCCAGTGTCATTAGAACAGTGTCAGTGCTTTTTACTAGCACTGATCACTGTATTAGTGTCACTGAGGATGTAAGTGACAGTTAGTCAGTTCCCACGCAGTGTCAGAATGCACACCGCAGTCCCGCTATAAGTCGCTGACCGCTGCCATTACTAGTATTAAAAAAAAAAAAAAAATTCCAGTAGATATTGTAGATGCTATAACTTTCACGTAAACCAATTAATATACACTTATTGGGATTTTTCTTTTCAAAGGCATGGAGCAGAATACATCTTGGCCTAAATTTATGAAGAAATTACATTTTTTTAATTTTTTTATGGGATATGTTTTATAGCAAAAATTTAAAAATATTGTTTTTTTTTTTTTAAATTGTATTTTTTTGTTTATAGAGCAAAAAATAAAAATGCAGTAGTGATCAAATACCACCGAAATAAATCTCTATTTCTGGGGGAAAAAAATGACATAAATTTAATTTATGTACAGCGTTGCATGACTGCGTAATTGTCAGCTTAAGTAACTCTGCCGTATCGGCCTGGTCAGGAAGGGGGGTATATCCTCTGGAGAGCGAGTGGTTGGACTTTTGGACATTTGACACTCTCATTGGATTGTATATATGTGGATCAACTCTGAGTCATATCCCTTTTTCCTGAGGGTGGAATCTGTTTTGTAAATGCTGCCGAACTGGAGCCAGTGTGCCCAGTGACAATTTCAGTGACCCTTAGGAGATCCAGATCCAATGTGCCCAGTGACCATTTCTGTAAGCCTTAGGAGATCCAGATCCAGTGTGCCCAGTGACCATTTCTGTAAGCCTTAGGAGATCCAGATCCAGTGTGCCCAGTGACCATTTCTGTAACCCTTAGGAGATCCAGATCCAGTGTGCCCAGTGACCATTTCTGTAACCCTTAGGAGATCCAGATCCAGTGTGCCCAGTGACCATCTCTGTAACCCTTAGGAGATCCAGATCCAGTGTGCCCAGTGACCATTTCTGTAACCCTTAGGAAATCCAGATCCAATGTGCCCAGTGACCATTTTGATGACCCTTAGGAAATCCAGATCCAGTGTGCCCAGTGACCATTTCTGTAACCCTTAGGAGATCCAGTTCCAATGTGCCCAGTGACCATTTCTGTAACCCTTAGGAAATCCAGATCCAGTGTGCCCAGTGACCATTTCTGTAAGCCTTAGGAAATCCATATCCAGTGTGCCCAGTAACAATTTTGGTGACCCTTAGGAAATCCAGATCCAGTGTGCCCAGTGACCATTTTGATGACCCTTAGGAAATCCAGATCCAGTGTGCCCAGTGACCATTTCTGTAACCCTTAGGAGATCCAGATCCAGTGTGCCCAGTGACAATTTTGGTGACCCTTAGGAAATCCAGATCCAGTGTGCCCAGTGACCATTTCTGTAACCCTTAGGAAATCCAGATCCAGTGTGCCCAGTGACCATTTCTGTAACCCTTAGGAAAAATCCAGATCCAGTGTGCCCAGTGACAATTTTGGTGACCCTTAGGAAATCCAGATCCAGTGTGCCCAGTGACCATTTCTGTAACCCTTAGGAAATCCAGATCCAGAGCCCTGTTTGTCCTTGAGTTAGCAGTAAGAATCTGCCAGGGTTCTAAATCTTTCCCACTGTATCCAAAGTGAGAAGAGGGTTTTTGGGGGAGGTTCTACCTATGTAATAATAAAACTCCCATCTGCCAATACGGTGAAGGTTGCGTCTTGTAATCCTCATGTGAATGGGCGCTTGTAAATAAAGACAGGCAGGTCACCACCTTGTTGTCAGTTTCTTCTACTTTATTCACCTGTGAATTGTATTTCTGTGATTTTGAAGGTGATAGAAGAGATCGAGGAGATGATGCAAAACTCCCCAGACCCGGAGGAGGAACTCGATGAGGATGACAATGATCTGGAAGAGATTTCCACTCACTCTGACTCCATCCTCTTACAGGAGATGCAGGCCTTGAGCAAGACCTTCAACAATAATTGGACCGCTGAGGGTAAGGCTGGTCCTCTAGTCACCTCTTGTAACAGTATACTACAGTAAGGCCGTACATGTGTAGATTTTCGGAAGATAAAGAAAAAGTCGTACAAAAAATTATTTGAACATTCAGTGAATGGACGAATGTCGTTCGAAAATTGTCTTTTGCTTTTAACATTCGACTTTAAAATGAATGTCATTTCTGAACGATAACCACATACACTGGTTGAAAATTTGTTTGATCGAGAAATGTTTTGTTTGCCTGCCCCTTCGAATTTTCCCCTCACTGCTGTCGAAAATGATCATTGATTTCATCACACTAATGATTAGAAAATCAAATTAATATTCTTGAAACTAAAACTCTCGAACGAAAATCTATACGTGTATGGCCAGCTTAAGGGTGGCAGTTCCATTTATTGTATGATACAATATTGCCCTATATAAAGAATTAAGACGGTTTGGAGTTGCATGACATTTGATTCTTATTGGATCCCTGCTATAACCTGACTGATAACTCATCACAAAATATTGGTAAATATGACATTTAGTTGGTCGTAAAGGCTCAAGTATTTCTATGCATTAAGGTAAAAAACCTTCTGTGTGCAGAAGCCCCCCCCAGCCCCTCCTAATACTTACCTGAGCCCCATCGCAATCCAGCAATATGCACGAGAGCCTTGGCTCTCCAGGGACTCCCCGTCCACATTGGCTGAGACAGCAGCATTAACTGTTAGTTCACACTATTATCAATCATAGCCAGGTAGCCAATGAGTAGAGGGGGCGGATACGAGCATCACTCTGTGAATGGGCATGCAGAGCAGCAGCTCGGGAGCGAGCCTGCTTGGGTGCCCCCATAGCAAGACACTTGCTGTGGAGTCACTCAGCAGGAGAGAGAAGCCAGGAGTGCGAGCAGGGAGAACCGAGAAGAGAAGAATCTGGGCTGCTCTGTGCAAAACCAAAGCACAGAGCAGGTAGGCATAACATGTTTTTTTATTTTAAAAATTATTTTAGTATCACTTTAACTTCAGGGTTGCAAGTTGTAATCAACATAGACCAAAAATGACTCGGAAACAACCAAAAATAGCAAAAACATATCCCAAAAGTAGCCAAGTGACAAAAAAGGATTCAAAAACCCCAAATAGGTTGATATACACTCACCGGCCACTCTATTAGGTACATCTTGCTAGTTCCAATAAAATCTCCCCACACCATGACACCTCCACCGCCAGCCTGAACCATTAATACAAGGCAGGATAGATCCACACCTCACCATGACACCACCACCACCACCAGCCTGAACCATTGATACAAATCAGGATGGATCCACCTCACCACGACACCACCACCACCACCAGCCTGAACCATTAATACAAGGCAGGATAGATCCACCTCACCATGACACCACCACCAGCCTGAACCATTGATACAAATCAGGATGGATCCACCTCACCATGACACACCACCACCCACCAGCCTGAACCGTTGATACAAGGCTGAAGATGGATCCATGCTTTCATGTTGTTTATGCCAAATTCTGACCCTACCATCTGAATGTGGCAGCAACCAGTCTGCGCATTCTCCTCTGAGCTCAAAAAGGCATTTTCCTCCACACAACTGCCGCTCACTGGACCATTCTCTGGAAACCCTAGAGATGGTTGTGCGTGAAAATCCCAGTAGATATGCAGTTTTTGAAATAATCAGACCGGCCCATATGCCACCAACAACCATGCCACATTCAAAGTCACCGCATCAAAAACGCATAAAAAAAAACAACACACCTGTGGGAAGTTCTCGAGCCCAGGTTCACAGAATCGCATGGCAAGGGAAATCACATTATTTTCAATGGTGCCCTTCTAATCAACTCGGTACGGTGCAGGGGCGGACTGACCATTTGGAAACTCGGGCATTGCCCGAGGGCCCGGGGTCAGTAGGGGGTCTCATGAGATGCCCCTGGTACATTTTTCATAGGCTTTTTTGAGTTTGGGCAAGGACACAGGGGCCCCATGATCCCCTATTGCCCGGGGGCCCCATGAGTTGTCAGTCCGCCCCTGGTACGGTGTGATTTTGGAAAAGGTTCCTGGTGGACTTCAGTGCAGTTTCAGCCCCATAGACTTCTGTGTTATCTCATAGAAGACACATCAGCATAGATAAGAAACATTCTTCTGAGACTTTGATGGATTCAGTGTTTTTTTTTTTTTTTGGTTTTTCTTTTAACCTTCACCTCTAACTCCTTTCAGACCCCTACCCATTCAACAAAGGGTTCAATTTAGAAAAAATAAAGACGCCAAACTTTTGAAAAATTCCTTTAATTTCACAACAAAAAACCCAACAGTCCTTTAATTAAAAAATAAATAGTCAAAAGAGCAAAAAAAAAAAATTGTTCCGTCGATGCAATCCATCGTCATTCACGGACACCGACCCATCCACACCTGCAGAGCATTTGCCGCAATTTGACAGGTCTCCAGGGGCAGACTGATAACTCATGGGGCCCCCGGCAATAGGGGATCATGGGGCCCCTGTGTCCTTGCCCACACTCAAAAAAGCCTATAAAAAAAGTACCAGGGGCATTTCATGGGGCCCCCTACTGACCCCGGGCCCTCGGGCAGTGCCAGAGTGCTGGAATGATCAGTCCGCCCCTGAGTCTGACAGTTGTCGGTCACATGTAAACAATTGGGTGGAGCTAGTGGTGACACACGGCGTGCACACAAACGGCCAATGTTCGAATCAAACTTACGTTCGACTTGAACATCACGACCAACACTAGTTAACACCTATAAAAGGGTTAACAGTTATTAGGCTGCTTTCACACTGATCTGAGAGTGCACCTGCAGCTTTCCTGTAGCTTTGCTTAGAATTCTATTATTTTTTGTGGGTTGGCTGCACTGAGCCATAGACTTCTATTACATCCTGCAGGTTCGGTGCAATTCCTGAAACTGCAACACACCCTCAAAAAATATTCGAATTCTCAGGCAAAGTTAACCCACAGGAAAGCTGCGGGTGCACTGCGCTGCACCTGTTGTGCGGGTAAACCGCAGTGCATTAGTGTGTGAAAGCAGCCCGACAGGGGGCTCAAGACAGTAAGGGCTCATCTGCGATTTGAGGAGCGGTAAAACCTCATAGTTGAGATGTGTTGTTACCAACCCCATCCCCCCAACCACTGGTGTAGTGTCAGGGGTCGCAATGATGACCCCATTCTATGCTCCAGGGGGCCCGTGTGGCTTCCCTGTAATATTCTATTTTACACTTGGACAGGTTGGGCAGCATATACAGGAACTGATCATCTCCGTTTTCCTCCTGCAACCTCTGAAAGCCGTCTTTTCCTCGTTTCCCTCCTGCCGACATTCAGTGGCTCCAGGAGGAAAATGTTCATTATGCCATTCAAGATAAAAAAATTTAAATTCTGAACCATTTTATATCATTGTGGCCCGCGACAGGTTAACAAATCACTTAAGTGGCCCTCGCTTTTCAAAAGGTTGAGCACCCCCACCTTTTATTCATAGTGTGAGATGGTATGAATGGCACAACCGATTTTTAGTGCCATTTTGTAGCATGGATTCAGAGCGCCGCCTGCTGGAAATGAGCTGTAATAAGTGGGTGCATTTAGACAAAGGACAACAAAGCTGAAATATAGCCCTTCCTTCATTTGTGACATCACGTTCAGTTTTGTTCCCATTTATATGTAAATCATATCACTTAGGTTGACTGTTATTCTTGTAAAAAAAAAAAAAGCCTGACTTTTGTCCGTGGAGTAATGGAGTTCAGGTCTCACCTAAATGGGAAAACATAATTTAATGCAAAACTCCGGGCAAATAAAAAAATGATCCCTTGCATTGGGGCTATGCCTGCACTGCAAGGGTTAATTGCTCATTTTGTCGGAGGGAGAGGAGAAACAGTTTTACTTACCTCACCCCTGGCAGATGGGTCTCCCCCATGATCCGATGGTGGACTGTCCCTTGGTGTCCTCAAACCCAGGGCTATGGATCCTGCTCTGATCTTGATGACATCATGGCCCTAGACCGCTAGAGCGCAGGGGGTGCAAAAGCTGTGGGCATCGGTTTAGTTGCAGGGTGGAGCAGAGCATCAAGTAACTATACACTATATTGCCAAAAGTATTGGCCCCGCCCTCCCAGTCATGTGATTCAGGTGTTCCAATCCCCTCCATGGACACAGGTGTATACAATCATCCCCTAGGCATGCAGACGGCTTCTACAAACATTGGTGAAAGAATGGGTCGCTCTCAGGAGCTCAGTGACTCCAAGCGTGGTCCCGTGATAGGTGGTCACCTGTGCAATAACTCCATCCGTGACATTTCCTGGCTACTAAATATTCCACGCTCAACTGTTAGTGGGATTATAACAAAGTGGAAGCAACTGGGAACAACAGCAACTCAGCCACCAAGTGGTAGGCCACGGCACATTACAGGGCGGGGTCAGCGCATGCTGAAGAGCACAGTGCGCAGAAGTCGCCAACTGTCTGCAGAGTCAACAGCTAAATACCTCCAAACTTGATGTGGCCTTCAGATGAGCCCAACAACAGTAGAGAGCTTCATGGAATGGGTTTCCATGGCCGAGCAGCTGCATCCAAGCCTTACATCACCAAGTGCAATGCAAAGCGTCTGATGCCGTGGTGTAAAGCACGCCGCCACTGGACTCTAGAGCAGAGGAGACTTGTTCTCTGGAGTGACCAATCACGCTTCTCTGTCTGGCAATCTGATAGACATGTCTGGGTTTGACAGTTGCCAGGAGAACGGTACTTGCCTGACTGCATTGTGCCAAGTCTAAAGTTTGGTGGAGGGGGGATTATGGTGTGGGGTTGTTTTTCAGGGGTTGGGCTTGGCCCTCTAGTTCCAGTGAAGGGAACTGTTAAGGCGTCAGCATACCAAGACATTTTGGACAATTTCATGCTTCCAACTTTGTGAGAAGAGTTTGGGGATGGCCCCTTCCTGTTCCAACATGACTGCCCACCAGTGCACAAAGCAAGGTCCATAAAGACATGGAGGATCCAGTTTGGGGTGGAGGAACT